GAGAAGAGTTTAAAATTCATAGCACCTAGTATTTCACTGTGGGTCACTGAAGCCTCAGTGAGACGTGATTCTCACACACAAAGCCTTCCCACGCCGTAGCACCTGGAATCACTCAGCCAGGAGAGGCCTGCCCGCGGCAGTCACACCTGGAAAGAGGCTGCACTATCTGCGACATTCTCACTGGGTTTATTATTAGACACAGACAACTCGACATTGAATTTTAATGACTATAGATGTCACGGCTTCAATATCCAAAAGTTTTAGATGCTTTGACCTACTAATTGCACTTTTAAAAAGTTATCTAAAGAAAATGATCAGAAAGGCTTAATACAAGGAATTCCATCTGTTGTTCCATATTCATCTCTCTCCTTGTTGGACTTTCTACTTCCTTGGTTTCCATGACACTGTCCTCTCCTGGGTCTCTAGACCCCTCTGGACCGACCTTCTGTTTCCCCCACACACACTCTTCTTTCCCCGCCCACTCTGTACATGTCAGCATCACCCAATGCGGCACCCTGGGCCCACTGCCCGTCTTTCTCTCCCTGGGTGACCTCTTTCACACTCATAGTTTCAAAGACCATCTGGTCTTGATAACTTCCGAATCTCCATCTCCGTCCCTCCTCCCTCCGCACGGCATCAGAATTATCTCTTCATCTCCCTGCTGGCCATTTTCTCCTGAAATGTCTGCATTTCCCCTTGTCTGAAAGTGACTTCATCACCTTACATTCAAGCCTGATGACAGCACTACTCAACCAGGCTGGGAGCCTGAAATCGGCTTTGACTCCTCTCCTCCCCCTTCTCTGCTTGTTGTCAATCACGAAGTCCTGCCAGTCTTACCCTCTCCACATCAGACCCCTGATCTCCTTCTTGCCATTTCATCTCGGTCGGAGCTGTTGTATTAAATGAGTAAATGTATTCATGCTTTAGAAAGGGCTTTGTTATTTTAAAAAATGAGTAAATGTAATTAGTGCCTGACGCAGCGTAAGTACTCAGTGCGGTTAGTGATAATGATGGTATTCTCTACCGCACCCGCCTTTGCTGACGTTCTTATCACTTCTCACCTGACGAACCACTGGGTGCTCTGCCTCCAGTCCTACCCCTCAGATCCGCTTGCCACGGAGCTGCCAGGGTTAGCTCTTTAAAATGAAAAATGACTATGCCGATCTCCTGCTTAAAAACTCAACATCTGCAGGTTAAAGTCTCACCCCCTTGATGTGGCATCCAAGGCCTACTGTGATCTGGTCCCTTCCTCCCTCTCAAGCCTCATGTCTTGCTGTCTCCCGTCTCAGACCCAGCACTCCAACAACACTTAGCTGCAACCCGCAGGCTGCTCCAGACCTCCGTGCACGTGTTGTTTGGCAGCGTTCTTCCCTTTTCTGCCCCCACCTGCCCAAGACCTGTTTATTTTAATGCTTGACTCAGGCCAGGCATGGTGGCTCAGGCCTGTAATCCTAGCACTCTGGGAGGCCGAGGCGGGAGGATCGTTTGAGCTCAGGAGTTCGAGACCAGCCTGAGCAAGAGCGAGACCCCGTCTCTACTAAAAAAATAAAAAAAATAGAAAGAAATTAGCTGGACAACTGAAAATATATAGAAAAAATTAGCCGGGCATGGTGATGCGTGCCTGTAATCCCAGCTACTCGGGAGGCTGAGGCAGAAGGATTGCTTGAGCCTAGGAGTTTGAGGTTGCTGTGAGCTAGGCTGACACCATGGCACTCTACCGGGGCAACAGAGTGAGACTTGGTCTCAAAAAAAAAAAAAAAAAATACTCAACTCAGACCAACACACTCTAGGAAATAAAGGCTGGCTTAGAGGCCCCTATTCTGTATTCCCAGAAAACACCACGTAGATCTCTACCATGGCCTTATTGCATTGTGGTGTAGACATCTGTTAGCAAAGACATCTCCTTATCTGATTATGAGCTTCAAGAACAGAAACTGCATCTGAATCATCTATCTTTGTATGCCTGGAGCCCATCACAGTGCCTGACGCATAGAAAACACTCAGTAAATAAACACCCTGCTACATGGACAGCATTACGTAGTACCTGGGGAAGGCTGCAAGGCTGACGAGGCTCAGATTTGGGGGTGGTGTGCTGCTGGCAGACACGACCTTGCTCTCAGGCACAAGGGATGCCCTCACCCTACCCTTGACCCTGAGTGGATAGAGCACTGTGGGAGACACAGCGTTTGAGCTCAGCTGTATAAGGGAGGGCTGGAAATGGGAGGCTGGGACCAGGAATTATCCATTCATTTCTTTGGACCAACGGCCAACAGAATTGAGAAACAAGAGAATCAGGCTTTGAGAGATCCACACTTCCCACCGTCTTTTCTGCTCTCTTGGTTAGAAATCCTTTCACTCTTCCACCTGATCCCAAACACTCCCCCTTCAAAGTAGTACCACTTACCAGGCCGTTCTGGGCAACGTAAGAGGGGAGGCCGCTTGCTAAAGCCCAGTGGTCAGGAGGGGGATTCCTGTGAAGGCCAAAGACAAATGGTGACTTTCAGTGCAGGCACTGTTGGACTGAACACTTGAATCTGGGTCCTTGCCCTCCCCCTACTCTTTGGTGGCTCCCAGCACCCGACCAAACCCAACCATCCCAATGTCCAAATCCAGACACGGAAAAAAGAGTCAATATAACATTTTACTGACTGCCCATGAGGTGTGACTATCCAAGAAAGGACACAACATTCATTCTACACATTATTGGCTACTGAGCAAAAACAGATACCATCACTTCCCTCATAAAGTTAGTTGCCTAATACTAAGTAGAGAGCGAAGACAATCATCTACAGTGAGCTCCTACCATGTACTAACCACTAAACTAAGTTCCTTTTGTACTTATTGATCCCTCAAAACGATATTACAATTTCTGGTATCACTACTTTTTGCTTGTTTATTCTGAGAAAAAACACACACAGAAAAGTGCATTTTGAAAACCTCTTCAATCATTAGAAAATGAACATTTCTGAAACCACAAGGACATCAAGAACAGCACGGTCAGCTCCTTGGAAGCCCTTGCCTTCTCCTTCCAGCCTTCCCCCTGACCCCAAGGTAACCGTCATTCTGACATTATGATAATTATATTCTTGCCTTTCTGTAGAGTTTTAACATCTAAGCAAGCTTTCCCGTTCCCTCTCGCTTAATTTTGCCTGTTTTTCAACTTCATTTAGATGGAATCGTACAATGCGTATTATTCCATCTGGCTTCTTTTTTGTGTTTCTGTAATTCATTTGTTTTATTAACCTACAGTTTTCTCTTGTATTACTGTGGAACAATTTACTTATTCAACTGTTGATAGATGTTCCTCTTCCCATCCCTCCAGTTTGGGACTAATATAAACTGTGCTGCTGTGAACACTCTGGTACACGTGTGTTCTCAATTGTGTGTGGTATATTCCTAGGAGGAGAAATACTGGGTCATAAGATGTACATATCTTTGACTTTACTACGTAAGGCCAAACTGTTTTCTAATGTGACGGTAGCCAAGCGTGGTGATGTGCGCCTGCAGTCCCACCTACTCAGGAGGCTGAGGGAGGAGAATCAGTTGAGCCCAGAAGCTTGAGGCTGCCGTGAGCTATGA